TATAACACGTGCATTGGACATTGGAGATCTATATACTCTGTTGGAGAAAGCCTATTCAGCCTATCTATGAGTATTGCTTAAATTTGACAGAAATCATCTCGGGCATATTGGAAGGAGTAGTAAAGTAATATTGTATTGGAAGTTTCTATAGAGACACGTGCACAAATAATTGCTCACCTTAAATCCGTTCTTTCTTAGCTTTGTCAGGCAATACTTATTTTGTTTTATTTAAAGACATGGCGTTTCCGGTCCGTTGATTTGACGAAACGTTATATTAATTTGGTAACCATTGAAAAACACTAGGAACTTTATGAGTCACCGTGACACGTGCCTGTTGTACTTAAAAGGCACGTGATTGACCGCTCTTAAAGGGACCCTCCCACCTTCAAAAAAGTCAATGAATTGGCATGAAAGTGATGTCGCTCGGTTCAGAAAGAGCGAAAACCAATATCTACCAAATTTCATCGAAAAATATTCACCGGTTTTCAAGATATTAGACTTTTACTTTTGTTTACTTTTTGGGGATCTCCGCTGTTTCTAGCGACTTTATTTTAGAAGTGCGGCGTTTGCGGCAGATGTTGCGCGCAAATAGCATATACCACCGCGTGCTACAAAACGTTTTAGTCAAACATTTAAAAATCGTTAGATATTTGCGCTGACGTCACACATTCAGAGGGGTATTCCTAAGCATTAGCCCCTCTGAATCAAAATGCTGCAATTTTGAAATTCAATATTTCCGATTTAAGGCATTTCTCGATGTTGTGAGTGCCGAAACCGGTAATTGTGAGCCAGGGACCCCATTTTGGCTATCTCAACTCAAATCTAATGTTAAGGTGGGAGGGTCCCTTTAAACGGTGCACGAGGAAGCCGACGGTGCGCCTAAGTGCACCTTCCGTGGCATATAAGACGTAAAGTTACGAAAACAGTCCATATGAGGCAATAATCCTAATAAAATATGCCAACGCCGCATAGTGACTGAAGTGTCTGACCGAGCAGTGCAGTCGGGGTACCGTGACACTGGGGACACACACGAACTTACATAACCCGTCCGGTCCGCTTCGGTCCTCTTGGAAACCTGTGGCGCTCCGGTGCCTCCAGTCCCACCCTCCTGTCGGCTGCCAGGTGATAACTAGTGTGCACACGGGCCAAAATGATAATGTATAGTTGATTCTTAACTAAACTAAAAAGGCACGGTTTTCATACGTAGCCAAACTTTTATACAAAGCGAAAGAAGCAGCCTGTATCTACCACATATTTTGTGTAGGGAGGTACATACGAAGCCATGAAGCATAGACCATTATATGTATACCACTACCACTATATATATAGTGGACCACTATTAAATAGTGTTCTATGCATGAAGGTGACATGGTTTAACACGCGCGCCGACGGGGGGGGGGCGGATATCCGCCCCCCCCCCCTGAGGTTTTTCGCGAATAGCGGGAAAACCGCGGCGCGTAGCGCCGCGAAATTTGGTACGACTATTCTGACATCAATTTTACACATGGTGTGCAAGTTTGAACTTCCTAACTTTTAAGGTCAGGTCACCAGGTCACTGAATGACACAACCTCAAGTCACTTTTTTGCAACTTTGTCACCGTGCCAGAGCTACAGTAGATGTCGGAGGTCTTTGAAAGTCGCAGGATGTTATCAGGTCATTAGTAGCTACAATTTGTGTATCTCGGAATTTTGATATCGGTGACCTAAGGTCAGGTCAATTTCTCGACCTCCCCATTATAAGTCAATGGGGGAAAAATCAACTCCCTGTTTTTACCACTAAAACGGGTCGGAATGGCCCCATATACCATACATGAATTCATATACGATTAACCTTCACTACCTTGAGGTCAGTTTTGCTGTTGGGCAGCTGTAAGGTCATGTGACGTCATCAGAGGTCACCAAAGGGTTTTGCCGATAACTCCGTACAGGAACAAGATACAGCCGCGCGGATAGTCTCATTGTGTTCAGCTCGTCAAGACACCTCGAATGATATACATGATGACCTCGAGGTCACGTGACCTGAGGTCAACCTTTGACCTTGACCTTTCGAGGTCAACATATATATCATTCGATGCGGATTGACGAGAGGATCACGATGATGCCCTTAGTTTGTTCCTATCTTGACTAATTCGAAAGTTATTCGAGAAAAACTCTCCCCATATCTAGCGCCGCCATTTTTACTTTTTTGACCCCTGTGACGTCATCTTTGACCTTGGCATCGAAATAAATATATTAGTAGGTACTGAATTTTAACAGCCATTACAGCTCCACCGCGTCGCGCGTGCATCAACAGCGTTCCCAGTAACCACCGAGAGCTGATAGCCATCTGTGGAGCTGAAATAGCAGCGCAAACCTGCTCGGAGGGAAACACGTTTGCATGTGCTGAATGAGCGGCCGTATCGAAATATCCCGCCAGTTGACGTAAAGATAGGCACATCCGGCAAGGTTGAATAATACCCGTATGATTATCAAGAATACGTGCAGGACATTTGTTAATCCTTTCAGCTCAGGCGACTGCCTTAGCTCACGTATCGATGCCACCAGCTAGCCCACCAGGTCAGTGCAGTGGTGACCCCCGTGTCCCGTGACCTTTACAGATTTACCAACATATCTTAGGACATAGCGGTACCGATATGATCTCAGGTAAGACTTGAAGAGATTACAACTGTAGATCGTCTACCCGTCGGTTCATCGGCCCACCCATCTGCCCATTGGTCCGCCTAAAGTGCCGTCTGTGATAACACCATATTGCACACAGTTCGTGAGGGATGATTTAAAGGTCTGTCTGTGTACCAGTAGACGGCACAGATAGTACAATGGCTGTTTGTTTGTAAATACACTGCACAGCGTGTACACCTCATGTAACCACCCGCCCGCATAACGTGCCCTGACAAACTTTATTACCGTGCTGTAAACAGTGAACCAAATATAACGAACCCACACTGCGACGCGACAGCGACTTCACCACAGCCCACACTTCATTCTAAAACTGCTGCCAATAGAGGAGAACGTATCAGTAGTTGACTCTTAACAACAATCGAAAGTTCTTAACAAGACGAACCTTTGGAACAAAGTGCCTTACTAGGTCACAGGTCAGGTCAAGGTCCTGGTCAGGTCAAAGGTAAAGACTGCAACTTTCTACCGCATCGGTCTTGGAGTGCAATTGGCGAAGCATGAACTGAGATTGTTTACCCAAAACGCGTCCTTAGGCTGCCAAGACGAGATGCGTTGCATATAATGTCATGCAAAGGTCAAGCTCAGGTCATCAAAGACAAACTGTTATAGAATAGGATATGTGATACAAGTTTTATGGGTCATTTTATTCATATAATTCAAGGGATAGGGTAAGGTGCCTAATTAGCGACCCCCTTAATTTGAACCGTCATTGCTCACACTCTGTGGGTGCCACTGTGCTACTGGCTTGATTTTCGGAGAGATCGTTCATTTTTCTATTAAGATATAGTCATTTTCTGCCCCAATATTCACTAACTTATTTGTAGTGAGCATTTTGGCAAACCATTGCAAAAAACGCTAATAGGGAACTCTTCCCGATTAGCGACCGGGGAGGGTCGCTAATAAGTCTATGGGTTTCCCCATATTAAAAATGGCAAAAAATACGACGCCTGAAAAGATGAAATATGATCTCAAAAAGGTAACCTATTCGCAAAGCACTCAATCACTCGAACAGAAACGTTTATCCAACACATTTACGTGAGTAAAAACTGATCACGTGATGCACCGAAGGCGAAAAGAAGGCGGAAACCCAAATTTTGCGGGCTATCTTGCATGATATTCGAGGTCCGCGCTGAATTCGGCACCCCTGCAGTCGGTGACGACATTTGGCATCCCCTGCCACACATTGCAAGCTTCAGCAACACCTCATTTTCATTTCTCTCTTTTCCCCTTTCTTTCCCTTCTTGAGCTATTTGCGACCATGTCAGGCGCAAATAGGAAATATGAGTTGCGACACATTTTTAACCGCCATGCTGAGCACAGTTGAGCGATTCACGATGGAAAAACGGCAATCAATTAAAAAAGGAATGTCGATTCAGAATAAAAAAGGTGCATCATCCTAATGTGCATCGCTTTTCATCAGAGAGGACCCAAACACACACGTTTTGGATAAGAAACTCGTCATTTTTATTTAAACTCACCTGAAACGTCCCACCAGAAACATCGACGACCGGAAAATAATTTAACTTGATAACCAAAGTATGGCTGACCTTTTGACGATGTTTTTACCCCGTTTTCTCCTGCCAGTGTTTCTGTAGGGAGGTAGGTCGCAAATCGGAAAGGGTCGCTAATTAGGCACCTTACCCTATACTCAATTAGTGATTTGGAACATATTTGGATGACGTTCAGGTCAAGGTCAGGTCAAGTGGGGTCAAAGTTTGAAATTGACTGTTGAGTCCCAAAAAGGTGCCTATCTAATGTAGTCTTTCACGACGAATTGAACGGTGTTACTTTTGGTCCCCGTATGAGAGCTAAAACTACAAAAAAAATCATTTTGTTTTTGAAATACGTGCGTCGTGACATACCAAAATTTTAAATAACTCCTACACTTTTGAGCCGATTATTTTACACTTGGGAATGGTATGTATGTAGGCGCACATACGATACTTTCCTAACATATAGGTATCCCGTTTTTTATTAACTTTAAATTTTGGTTTGCACTTTGCATAATAACCCCTCCCCCAAATCAGCTTTTTAGAGTCTTGGAATTTTATTTAATTTTTGAAAACCCTTTAGCAGTGGCCCTTTGAAAGACAAAGTGGAATCACGTACGTGCTTTTTGTTAGGTCTTAGTTCCTAAAAAATGGAGATGTTAGAGGCGTTTGAAGCTTTGCAGTCTGCACTGTGAACAGATTACCGTAACAGAGCGAGTAACACAGCCTTCGGCCTGACGGAGAACTGCTACTTTTGGCAGTTCATTGCTTATAGGTACTAGTAAAAAAAAATCAACTGTCGGAGAACGCAATGGAGGAACGTAAAAAAGCATAACAAATTCGCAACGTGTATTTTACACAACGAATTATGCACAAATAAGCCATATTGATCTAATCAGACCAAAATTACAAATTGCGGTTGCCGAACGGAGGACGACCCTCCTGCATTGTCTGTAACATGGATAACGTACAACAACAACGTGGCAGGGGCAGCGATTTTTTACACAGCTGGGCCTGTTGCACACATTCTCTCCCCAAACTGCCGGATGTTCTCCTTCCGCGGAAGTGTAACAAACTAATGAAACCACTAGACGAAAGTGGTTTAACCCATCCTCTCCCTCGAACTGCCGGATGTTCTCCTCTTCAAACACACACCATGACATTGCACCTCTTACATCAGCCCGGCAGACTATTAAACGGCAGGCGGATTGTGTTTAAGTCAGGCAATCCCTTACTACGTCACTGCCTACGTCACCATCCTGCCCGTCAGCCAATGAGAGGGGCGACATTGGGCGGCCGCTCGGCCGTGACCGTCTTGTATCGGTCACCACCGACAGAAGCTCCACTTGAAGAACGGCACGCACGCCGATCGGTGTTCACTGAACGAAACGATGCGTCAGGGTACAACCGTACATCTCATAGATTCCGAACACTGTCGTAGTGAGTGAGCCGTGACGTGGCCAGAGGCGTGACCAAGGGAGCTGCTTCGAGCGGTTGGTTTACACATGACGTGAGCTGACTCCGCAAAAAGCCGCGGCGCTTCGTGATGCTGCGCACGCGTCACACTTCCGGCGGGTGGGGCCACGCAAGCACGCACGTCGGCACACAGCCGCCTTCCGGAGAACAGTCAACACACACCTGGACAAATCACTCACAACGTCACGTATCTGTGTACCAGAACACCAAAAAACCAGTAGCAACTTCACACTAGCTCGCAATCTGCTATCACTCCTACGAGCACACTCGGCTTCCCAAACGCACGCACTGCACTACCCTGACGGTATCGCTATCACATCCCGTATCGCTGGCGGAAGTGGTAGCGGAAGCGGACTGACAGCTCAGGTATCTCACCTTCCGCGCGGTACAGGTGGAGAAGGGACTCAGAAATCGCAGCACATAGCTCACATTCAACACACCTCAGTGTTTGTCAGCTTCTAAAAGCTGTTTTTCAAATTCTTCTGTCTTTTTGTGGTGATATTCCTTTTTGAATGCCTCTAGTTCCTGCAATGAAGTCAATTGACATCGGTCAGATTTGTGAGCCATGTATGTCTCATGTGGTAGCTGTAGCACAGACTTAATTAAAGACAATCACGAGTAACAGTAAGCGAGAAATAGGTAATAAACTACCTTATCTCTTATACTATCAAGCACAGTGATCTCACAAACATTCTAGGTTCAGAGTTCAATTTCAGTACAACGAGATAGCACATGCTACACAAATCCATCGAGAAGCGCAGCCTCACGTTTCTGTGGTCCCTGTTGGCCGGAGGATATAGCTGCTGCTTGGTCTGAATGACCCACTTCTCAAAGTACTCTGGCTGGTTGAAGTACCAAAAAAGGCCGACCGGGAACGTCATGTACATGCCCATCTTGAAAATCTCCAGCTTCCAGCCACCCATGTCTGACTCTGAAACAACAGAGGGCACTGATGAGCATGGCTGGACGCGGCTCACCCCCTGACGATGGTCAGGTTCCAGCAGGGAGGGGCCAGTAAAATACATCCCGCGGGAACACCCGCCTCGGGGAGGTGTTCCCGCAACGGGCACTGGTCAGCACTCGGGGACTCAACGAAAAAATACCCCCAAACTCTCATCGAGACCGTGGGCGGAAGATGTAACTAAATGAGGCTGTCAAAAAGGTCCCTCCATCCACTAACTTCACATCCAAGTACGCATATGGTGAACTCAGCGGTACGAAAGAAATCCCCCGGAAAAGCGAGCCTGACGAGGGGCCATTACTGCAGGTAATTTTCGGCGATGATCTGTTCGGCAGAAGCAGCGGGCGGTGCAGAACCCTTGCTGTCTGGTGATGTCCAGACATTTCCACTGACCCCCGCACACCAAACGGTCCACACATTCACGGCACTGAGGAGGTAACTCAGCACGCTAAATATTTACACCAGCGGGTCACTCAGTATCGGTTGTCTGGTCAAGTGTGGGGGATGGGAGCCAGATATTTAACTGGGTGAGGAACGTGACGCCAGGGGTGGTTAATCACCCCAGGTCCAAAGGAGTTAAGATCAATCAGAGAAGCAATCGCTGTGCTGCAGCCACTGTGAAAACGTGTTACAACATATTATATACATCAACAGAAAAGCGTGAGGAATGTGTTACAATATCTACAAACAGAGAAGCTGTGTGTAGATTGTAGATGTAGACGTGAGTGATGAGCTTGCATTATGTAAAATGCACAATGCACATACAAGAACGTGCTAACTCCAAAGCGCACACGCTGCGGGTTAAGGTTTATAGATGGTGGATATGATACAATTGAATATCATTGTGACTGTGATCTGAGATTAACAACGCAGCAAATTGTTAAACGGTGTAGGGTAAGCATATGATTAAAAGAAGCGTCGACACTTTTCTTTATCGGGTATGACTAAATGATATGACCGTCAGCCGCAGTTTAACCATTTGCATTGGTGGTCGCTTTTTACAATATGTGATGGGCGTCCATTTATAAAAATAAGACATTGTTTCAATGTGGATCGGAGTACATGGGAAACTATCCATACTATTATTATTTTCCGCACGAGTGGAGCAAAAGCACATAATTTCACGCCACTTTGTGAGCCTTGCTCAGCAACACCTCTAAAATAGTATCCCATAAGGAACACATGTAATTTCTAAATGAACCTTGCAAACCTTCAAGTACGCTATAAGTCGTTTCAATCACACCAAAAACCTTCTCATAAGCGAGTTAAGCTCACGTCCTAACTACCGCCGGCCAGCCGTTACTCCCCAGTCCATGGCCCGGGCAGGGCGAACGACAATCATGTGCGCCACTGAACTTGACCCGCGCCTAGCGTGGCAATTAGCCCTCGGGCCACCGGCCTCTGCACGTGGACGCCAAAAGGTCGAGAACCGCCAAGTCTCGCCACCCATTCGGACTTCCCGTGCACGTGCACTGCAGTGTCAAGGCTCACATCGACCTGGGGACCCGGTGAGACACAGTGGCCGCCCAGTGTGGCGACACAAGTGTAACACCACACGAAAATCGGCGCCGCACACGCGGCCGTTCCGTCCTCGGCCGAGGGGCCTCTGGACAGGGGCACGCGACAGGGGCCGGGTGCCGCGCGCGAGGACACCCGCGTCCCGCACGAAACGACGTCCATCGCCCAGGCACCAGACGTGAGTTCAGTGAAAACAAAAGTAGGGGAGAGTGGGGCAAAGCGGCCACCCTAACGTTTCTAACGATGCCGACGCTTGATTTGTAAACTTGGAAAGATTCTTTCTATACCACTGTGATCCCTATTAAATTGTATTTTATTCCAACTGCGTTTCATTTCCAAAGGCGTTCACATATGGGAGATATTGACAAAACTTTAAACCTATAGCATATTGGCCACTTTGCCCCATCCCTGAGGCAAAGCGGCCACTGGCGACTTCTCAAGTCCCGATATGAGAAACAGAATAGTTGCCTCATGCACGACTAGGGTATTTGATGGTGACAAGGTTTAAGGGAAGATGGATGTTTACTTTGTTATCACTTATCTTCCTACCTATTGCTAAACAAAGAAAGAATTTTCTTGGAAAAACATTTAATTGCATAATTTGGTAACTCATGTAACCGAAAAGTGGCCAAGATGAATGCATGACGACACATTTGAATATAAATAATGTTTTTATCCAGATGGAAACAACTTATGGCCAATTGGGGGCTGGTCACTTTGCCCCGGCCGCTTTGCCCCGCGCATACCGTCTGAGACAAAAATATTCCAGCTCAGCTATTAGTGGGGTAAAAAGCATTAAAATTGGTAGAAGGCATGTACCATAACCACGCAATGCATGGGCAAAAACGCTTATAAAAATTCCAAACGGTTATGGAATAAAACAACATTTAAAAATTGTAAATATAATTGGTAACCTGGCAAGAAATGCTTTTCCGTGTTTCACAGAACAATGGCGATGGGCCTGAAACCCCGGTCTGGCTCATTCGAACGACCGCAAAGAGAAGTATAATTGGAAATCATAAATTGGAACTGACGCTAGCTGTGGAGGGCTAAAACGATGGATGGCCGCTTTGCCCCGGGTGGCCGCTTTGCCCCACTCTCCCCTACGCATGGCGCGATACCGACCGGTGCAACGCCCTTCCCGGATTCTGAGTACGATGATGTTCATTGAAGTTTAAGAGATTTTTGCTCGAGTTGAAACGACATTCGAACTGCTGGTTCCACTGCTCAAAATACCGAGGGATTTTTGAAAATAAGAAAAGAAATGAAAAAATAAGAAATATGAAAATAAGAGGAAAATAAGAAAAGCGCATCTTAAGGCTTGGGGGGGGGGGATGAGTGACCTAACTCACGTGGCCATTCTGCAGGGTGCATAGGGCGACAAACTACAAAAATGGCATTTTTAGCAACACGGACAGATCGAATTCATTGGGGAGAGGAAAACACTGACTGCGCAAGCCACTAGGAACGGATCAAAATAAATGAAATTGAAAGCAAGCATTTGACATATGAACATAAAAATAATATTAACGCTACTGTAAAGGTCGGCGTGAGACCGAGCATGTTTGTAGCCACCCTTGGCTAACTCACTGCGTTCCACGAATAATTGGCCTTCATTCTTTTAGCATCGCGCCACGTGCTTCACCTATATATGTAGACACGACCAAACAGACCATCGACAAGCGTCATCAAATGAAGATAGGCACGTGGCAGTTCCCACTGAATGCGCACTTGCTGCTAGACTATTCAAGGAGACGTCATGACAGAAGGGCTATGTATTTTCAATGAGGGTCTGTTTCGCCGATCAAGAGGCACCCGTCGGTCAGTTCCGCGTCTGTCGTGACGCCACTGGCGGATCGAGGATGGGGGACGAGGAACGTTTGGAACACTTGCCGATCTAGCACCGTCAGAAATTGACGAAATTTCGCCGTTTTCCTCTCTTTAAAAATAAAACTTAACAGCTTTTCATTACGTTAACAGCTTTCATTACGAATAGTGCGCTTTCAATTGCATAGCCAGGCATACGGAAGCAAAATCCAAGGGGTTCTTGGAAATCGTAGAGCCTTTTTGGGGAGTATGCCCCCGTAGCTTCCCGGACCACTTTTCTGGATCCGCCAGTGAGTGACGGGTTGCGCTCCGCCAGCCCGGTGGGCCAGGTGATGGACTTTTGTTCTGCGAATCCATCACCTACCGGATTTTTAACGGTAGCCTTCAGGCCATTTACGTGCACGCGTGCCGGTGCTAGAAGAGGACCTTGGAATATCCGGCCGTTGATTGATCCGATTTGAAATGTAGTGTTTTATTCAATTTTGTCCGTTTTCGGCGTAATGACTCGCCATTCTGTGACGTAAGCTGAAAACAGGGCTCTGCCACCGAGAGATGAAGGAAGTCCAGAGTTAATTCCTGTTTAAAACGGCAGTCTTCCATGCCGATGCATTATGACTACATTATTGTTTCACCATTATCAGGAAAAATAAACTGATAAATTGGTGTAAATACCATACTAACTCGAACTTCTATCTTGTCTTACAAATGCACGAAAATATCGACTCAAAATTATCTCCCGTCTCCTAGTTACAGTCGATGGCGGCTCCCAGGTCTATCAGTCCAGCCCCAGACACGGTTATCTCAACCATAACATAGAACGGTGGTCCTTCACCGTAAATATACAGACTCCGATATCGCACACACGTTTGCAGCAACTCCATCACATCGTTTGGCCAACTCGAGTCACAATGGGTGCCGGGTGGTTTGTACCAATGGTACAAACCCGAAGAATACCCAGAAACTATGTATAACTTCATTCAGTGGGATCTCAGGTTCCTAGAATGTCACAACTGAACTTACTACACATCATTCGAGCTGCCAAACCTTCGGGTAAATGCGCCATGCCTGCCTCGGACTGCTGACTCGACATGCGTACTTCGAAAACCGTGCGAGTGACATGGCGTCAGCGTGATATTCATTTTCATTCATTGATATTCACGTACACGATGAAGCTTTAGCGACGCACTACAAACAAGGGATGTCGCGCGAAAACGAAACGAATGAGACCATTAGCAGCGTGAATTTAACGCCACCCACACATCACTGGACTAGTGATGTCAATTACAGAAAATCGGGATACCGATACCAAACCAAATACCAAACAAAATCATGGGGTCAAAATCAAATTTCAATCACCCACGAAATACCGAAACCAAACAAACTTGGGAATATCAGCGAAACACCAACTTTTTACCAAAGTCACAACCTCTTATACATAAGAAAGACTCGTAATACCAACAAAATACCAAAATACATTAGGATTGAAATACCGAATACCTAATTGGTACCTATCGGTTTGGTATCGGTATGCCAAAAAAAATTGGTGAACGATTGACAACTCTACACTGGACACATAATTAATATGTGATGCTACATCTACATCACGTGAAATATCACATACATAC